TCAGGTTTCCGATATGCGTCCCCCCCAATGACAGACTCGTTCCTACGCCCTTGGTTATAGATACATTGATGTTGCATATATATAACTTATTTTAACATGAAGATAAATTCAAATAATTTGACCTACTTATTGATGTGTGCAGAAATCATTGTTTTGCACATTTTGTAGATGTTTGTGAATATATATATTTTTTTACTTATTCAGTTACTTTAAATTGTCACATGTATAAATATTTCTCTGGCAAATTATGTATTTATTCGACTGTGGCATTTTTACCCCTCAATGTCCAAATTCTGTCAATGACGAAAACTATAAAACACATAAATTTAAAATCTGTTCAAAGTGTTTATATTTTCAGGGGAGTGGGAATAAAATTTGGTTGGTTCAACAACAAATAAGAGCTCATATTTGGCTTAAATGCTTTGTTTTCTTCTGACAGCAGTTTTCTTCTTTAACTTTCTTTTAATAGCTCTGAAAGTAAATTGTATAATATTCGTTAAAGCTCCCATTCAAACAGTACCACGTGTTAGTTTATGACACAGCACTCCAATAAATCACATTAAAATTAGACGTTCCGACGTGACAACAATTTCAAAGACATTTGACGTTTTTGTCGCCACCGAGAGAAAACTGTCCGCGGGCGCGCAGGTATAGAGCCAAAACCTGCATTTACTGTGGATGCTTCAAAAAAAAAAAAAGATGTCCACGAAATATCCAAACCGGCCTGCAGGCTTCTCATGCTGCGCAACCACATATCCAGAATACCAGGATTATATGGTTCTGCGGCGTGCGTGCGTGGGGGGCAACCCCAGCTCATCCTCCATCTGATGGCAGCATCAGGCAGTCCCGTGAAACGTTTGCGTGGGAGTTCCCTCCACCGCCATGTCGGGATGGTGCACATCGCTTCCTCTCTCCCTCTCTCTCTCTCTCTCTCTCTCTCTCTCTCCCTTTCTCCACACATCCTCCCCCACATTATAACAGCTTAGCACGGCAGAAGTAGATCCTACAGCATCCAGCAGCCAGCATCCCTCTATCCCTGCCTGGGGAGCTGCAGTCCTACCCGGCGCAACACCGTGTGAGTGATGCCACAGCATCATCCGCATTTCGACGCGAAATAATCGAGAGTTGATCCAGCAAAGGAGAGAGCTTGGGGTGAAGGAAAATTTGCTTCAGCCTCGAAGACGGCAACTGCCCATGAAGATGTCTAACGCTGACACCGTCTTAAACCCCACCGATCGGGTGGTAAAATGTAAGTTAGCCTACATTTTCCGCTCGGATGTGGCTGCATTACATAATATCTCAAGCGCTGCGGTTAAGGAGGAGAAGGGGGGGGGGGGGGGGGGGGGGGGGGGGGGGGGTCCTTTACTGTTGTTTTAATCGTGCCATAATGATTGATTAAGTTGCGTTGGTTGGGAGGTTATAGTGGACAAGAGAAGCTTTGATGTTGATAAACAATCCCAGGTTCCTCTGCTGCACAAGCTCTCCCCCGAGGAAGTCAGGCGTAAAAAGCACGAAGCATTGCTCAAACATATATCTGTATATAAATATATGCATGCATTCCGCGATCTAACTGGATCTTTTTGCTGCTGCTCGGTTTTACAGTAGCATGGCGTGTAGGCTGCAGCAGGCAGGCAGAAGTGAGGAGGAAGAAAAGCTCAGTTGGCGAGCTCAGTTGTGGTAGAAGCTGGAGCAGTGATGCAGCAGGATTTCGTGGGCTTTAACGGGGGCAGCAGAGGAGGAAGGGGGCATGAAATTGACATTTAATGGGATATACTTTACCAGGAGTGAGTCACATTTTAATTTGATTAGGGGGAATAAAGAAGAAGAAAAAAGGCATGTATGGAACTGATCGATGTGGGATAATGAGGTCCTCACAGTTGCCATAGCTCACTTGGCCCAGCTCATTTTCAGCATGCATCTGCACTGTGCATGAATATATTTCTGTAGTATGCAGTCCAGTGCATTATCAGGATGGCCTAGCAGATCTATCAGCACTAGAACCACTACAGGCTCAAGACTTGGAGAAACACGGCAATATTTGTGACAATTATCTTTTGAAGCATCAAATATATAAGCTTAAAGTTAACTTTTTTTTAATAGAATGAAAAAGCACCTGCTTCTGCTGCCCCTCACACTACCAAATACACCCACTCACCAACAAAGCTCATACTGCAAGCAGTATTTTTATTATATAACCAATAAGAAACCACAATACTTAACTTCTGCTGTTGATTGGAAACGAAAATGGGTGGAGAAGAATCTGTCAGTTCAGGTTTAGAGCCAAGATTTTTAACTAGATATGCTGTCCAGATTCCATAGGAGAGACACCAAAACAGCACTTTCATTTAGTGCCAATTCATACGTTGCATGGATTCCAACTTTTGTGTAGAGTAGTTTTTTTTTTTTTTTTTTTTTTTTTCTGCTGTGGCTGCCGCCCTACAGGCAGCACTGGCCTTGGCAAAAAGCCATATTGCCCACATGAAACACAACAAATCGACAAAGTGATTTAGTTTGATAAACCATTACAGACATACAAGGCATTCTAAAGAAAATATTTTGACCCACAACATTTTTATTCATATTGCCAAGGCAGCAGCATAGCATATTAAAAATGTGTCATCATGAAAAGTAGATATCCCAATGCAGGGACAGACCAAGGTATAAGTAAACTTGGTCACTGCTTGGTGCTTCTGGCTTGACGGGGAACCCAACAGAAACTTAACTTAAAGTGACAGGACATGTGTACATTCTAACTAAAAGCCTTTTATTTTAGTTCTTGTGAATGCAACATTAGAGGTCCTCAAGGTTTCAGAACTAAACCAAGGAAATAAAAGATGAAGAATGGAGAGAAAAAATGTGTGTGTTAAGGATCCCTGTTACATGTCAAAGGGATATCGTTTAAACAAATACATAAAAATAAAATATCAGTCGTCTTATTCCTGCTGTTGGGTTTACAGGAGGTAGCCCCAAATTAAATATTATTTAAAAATGAACTGGCTGAATCTTAGTTTTGTAAACCAACCCACTGACTCATTTTAAAGAAGCATTATCTCATCAATGCATATCTGATTACATTTTATTTTCTGCACATTGATAGTTGTAAATGAAATAAATAATACACGTAAAGGATATATTTAAGAGCTGGGCTGCACGGGGTGTTGCAGATAGCTTATCTTTCAAATATTAGTGTGTGCAAAATGACTTTTATATCTATTCATCAGGTTGCAACATTAATGCAGTTGGGGAAATAGTTAGTGTCATACTCAATGAATTAAAATATTATTGAAAAGTTAATTCCTTTCAATATATCCATTCACAAAAACACATTATATAGGTTAAATATACAGACGAAGCCTTTATTTATGTATTTATGATGAATTTACACTTACACCTAATGAAAACATAAGACTACATTTTACCAGCAAACACATTTCTAATATGTGGGTTTAATGTCTGAGCCTCTAAATTGTTAGATATGACTGTATACACTTCACATGACCACACTGGGAATGCAGACAATTCATTATATTGTTCAATAAATAAACAATACCTGAATTAAATAAGTAATTGATGGAACAGTAAACTGAAATTGTTGCTCATAAACATGAACTTAGAACAAAACAAATGAAACCAGTGTTTGGTTATTTTTAGTTGTTTTTTGTTTGTTTTTTCTGTTTATCATAATGTTGCTCTTTGACATATCTCTTATTGTAATCTAGCAACATACTCAACTTAAATGCTAAACCCAAAAATGCATTTTCCTTACTTGTGTGGCACAAATTAAAACTGAAATAATGGAAAACCTGTAAGGAAATATTGGTGACAATTACCCTCTTGATTCCTCAATGTAACTGATTCTATCAAAAATACTAAATTACACAGAATTAGAAGAAACTGAGCAACATCGAAGGAAAATGGGAGTTAATCACATCTGATATCACTATGGCATAATTTACTAATACTGGACATATTATAGAGGGAAGCCATGCGATCACTTGTATACCTAAGGATGACTGGCAATTTGAACAACAGAAATGACTGTTGGCCAAGAGTTGAAGAAACAGTGTGAAGCAAACAGAAAGTCCACATCAGCACAGGCACACGGCCAGCTTTCTGACTGAAACGCTTTGCTTTTGTAACAGGAGCATGTAACACCAAACACTTTGAGGAGTCTGAAACACTCAACATGTTATTATGCACTTGTTTCAGTTTTATTACTTGTGTATTTTGTAGAAACTATCTGACCATTTAAAATAGGAAAACATTTACTCACATCTAAGTTCGAGTCATTTTCTAGAGGCCCTAAAACATGTGATAGGTTTTGTTATTTCTTGACAGGCTTGCGGATATTCCTTTTGTCACTTTTATCTGCTTTTCCTATTTTGGTATTTGGCTTTGAAGAGACAAGCCTTTCTTTTTACAATTCCCAGAGTGCCTAATGTAAAAAAAAAAAAAAAAAAAAAAGTCATAAAGAACTGAATCACAGTGGCATCAGTTGATCAAAGTTTGCCATCATGACAGTAGTGAGTTATTATGTTCTGGTGCACTCACTACGTGAGACTGGGATATTTTTATCTTTGTGGGCATAGCTTTAACCTAAAGCAAACTAGGTTTATCTTCAGTTCAGACAGAGCATAAAAAGCTTTGGTTTGGTTTCTGCTGGCCAGTGCAGTTTGATTTTCTGCTGAACTGTTAGCATTAACAGGCAGAAGGCTACATTTCTACCTGTGCACAATCTTTCCTCACTTTGTCACTTGTTCCTTCATCCTAAAGTCACTTCTAATGACTGATGAAATAGTTTGACTAGATGGAAGTGGACCAGTGTTTGCTAAATGTAATAAATACATTTAGTTTGGAGGTTTAAATATCTTCCAGTGTGTAGACCTTGCACATGGACGTCTGAAGGGAACCTGACACCTACCAACACTAGTTAGTCCAATCATGTGGGGCTGTACAGTATTTCCTAATAGGATCCAGGATCTCTCTTTTGCAATAATATCTATTACATACATGGTTGTTCTGTTTTTTTTTTTTTTTTTCAATTGCTCAGCGTGATAACCTGTCTTAGGAATATTTGTCAGGCATCATGAACACAATACAACACAAGTTTTATTCAAAGCTGATTGGAAAATTTGTGTTGTCAGCTGCCTTAACGTGTCTAATAAATCACTGTCTCTATGAACCTCCAGTGCAAATTGCAGTTTTCTGGAGCACCACTGGCTGCACTCCAACACTCAGCTGCTGTTGCTGTTGCCACTGCCGCTGCTGCTGCTGCTGCTGTTGCCCGGCAACATACAGTATTTCATAGCTCAGCTGAGCTTGGCGCTGAGCAGAAGTCAGCTTTTCATCTCTGCACCACACATCTATATCAGTGTACTTGTATAATGTGCCTTTGCTTCTGTAGAAGGTGTTGTGGAAGAATATTACATAAGATGCAGGGATTATATATTTAGGAGTTTACTGTTATTACCCATATTAGGAAGACTACTATAAAAATATAGGCTAAATGCATTTTGAGTAAATACGCAGCGAGTAAATTTTATTCCTTATAGAATTAGGAATTTATTTAATAATTTTATGATAAATTGTTTTAGAAGAATTAGGAGCTACATTTACAAGATTTTTGCAATATAATAATCAAAAAGCAAAGCATGTTCTAATTTATTAAAGAAATATATGAATATGTGAATATTGTTGTTGTTATTTTTTATTCTTTATGTACATGCTTTTAAGTTTTGGCTGTCCAATTTGAGTGCAATGAACAAAGCACAACAGAATGGCCATATTTTATTATCAAGTTTGTTTAGTGATCATCTCCAGACAAATTGTTCCACATTGCTAAAGCTCTGGTCGATCTATTTCATTAACATTAAGTTTCAATGTCATTCCAGTTTGGTAAAAAGCAAAGAATGAATAAAAATCTAGGAATAAACAATATTAAGATTGCTTTGCTGTTGGAAAGAGAGACGTTGTGGTAATCTACAGTTGCAGAGGTCAGAGGTCCTGCAATGGCACTGGATTAGAACATCACATTAAATTTGTATTTACTGATTTTTACAAATCCACACTGAAACAATCAGATGAAAAAAAAGTACACTGTTTGATAAAGAAAGATTTGAAAGAGTCCCAGTTCAGAAAAAATATTATTGTTTTTTATTCAGCATTGTATGCTAAGACTATTTTGTGAGCTTTTTACTTGTCACCATGTTTGCGCTGGACAGTATCTGTGAATATTTCTTCAAGAAATGGACGTTGGAGGTGGTGCACCAAAAATAATTTTTCTGTGTGAAACATACTGAGAACAGAGTAACTGTAACACAGAGTAACCTTTAGATGTGAATGTAAAGTGGTGTAAAAAAACAAAACAAAAAAACAACAACATTGTAGTGGTTTGAATTATATTTAGTCTGCCATATTTATTACTCAGCTTCTAGTTGTTTAGCTTCAGACTTTTAACTTTGGCCCTTTGGACTAACTTTTAATTTCTAGTTAGTTTGGAGTATTAGCATCATAGCATTACCTAGGCTCTCTTGGACTCGCAATTTGTTTCAGATTATAGCCTTGTTTCTTTCAAAATGGCCCCTTCCTTTTGTTCATATCTTCATATTGGTAGCCTGGTGCCTTTTGGACTATCAGCAGCGTCCAAATGTTAGCTTGGCCCTCTTGGACTAAGATATGCCTGGTCTCACCAAGAATAACTATTAGCTTATTAGCTTAGCTTTAAAACAATATTTTGGCCCCTCTTGGGCTACTCATCAGTTTCGGGCCATCCATGTGGGCCCTCTTAAACTAGCCACAATCTTCAAAGTGTTAACTTGACCCCTCTTGGACATTTGTAAACTTTGGACTATTAGCTTGGCCTTTCCTGGACCAGGTGTTAGCCTCAGGGACAATAAGCTGTATTTTAAATGAAGGTGCATAGACACTTAACTTCTCTGTGTAAGATATTAACTCCTTACAAGTTTTGTCAAAACTTTACTTTAAAAAAAAGCCTAAGCTATCTGAAATATAACAACAAAGAATGTTTATAAGTAACAAATGACTTTCTGAGAAGTATAGTGAAAAGGTGTGCACTTCCTCCAACTCTTTTTTCTAATTTGTATGCTTACTTTGCAGGAATAAGGTGATTTTGCTTCATATATCATAAGTTGTTTCTTTCTGTTTTAAACTGGTAACTGCTTTTTATACTGCTTACAAAAACTGAACAGATTTTTGAGCGCTGTTATATGTAGTGGGCTCATTCACTTCCTCTGCAGTGCATTCAACGCTGCTTTGTACTTGCTGGTTAAGTGTCAAAGCACACGTCGCCATCACAGATACACACTGCGCCCTGTGAAAAGTTTTAGGCCCTTTAACTACACTTGCAGGGGCTTGCCTTATTATCCCAGGAATAGTGGCTTTGAGATTTCTCTAGTTTACCATTCATTATTAAAGACCATCTTCACCACATTGAGTTCAGAGCCTCTTTCTTTGTCTTTTCTTTCTCTGGCTGTGCTGAGTGGCCTTGTTAGTTGCACACTTCAGAAATCTGGCACACATTCAATTGCTCATTCTCTGAGTTTTTGACTTATAACATATGTGCATGTTTCCAGTAAGAGTGTGTTGGTGCCTTCGTTTCTCACTAATGTAAATTAGCAAACTGGCCTTACATTTTCTTCCCATGTAAATTATTTGTTCTTTTGACACTTTTTCTGTGTATCTAGATTAATGTTTGTGCATGTGCCCAGAAGCTAGTAGTCACACAGATCATCTGCAAATTTTAAAATAATAATAATCCTTGCCTGCCATCACCGAAGTAATTATCTGTGCTTGGATTTCATAGTTTCACAGACTGTCTGGTGGGTAGGTGACTGGTGCAGATTTAATGACCACATGCTTTAGGAAACCGGGAAGAGTGAACCAATTGCTTGAATGTTTTATGCAGAAATCAGAAAACACAAAACTCCACACCTGCATTGGAATACATTGCATTAAAAAGCAGACCTTCTTGTGAATATCATACATTATAATCAAATAATTTAATAACTGGATTGTCAGTAGCACTAACAGTTACTAATGTTTCTGCCGTATGCCAATTATTTGAATTACAATTTTTGCCTCTGTGCTCTGTCCTCCCTTAGCTGTCCCCTTCCCCTTGAGCCACCGCCTTACAATGAAGGAAGTGTTCGACTGTGAAGGCAAACCTCGCGTAGATCTGCTGAAGGCTCACCTGACCAAGGAGGGCCGTGTGGAAGAAGCTGTCGCGCTCCGAATCATCAATGAGGGAGCAGCCATCCTCCGTCAGGAGAAAACTATTCTCGACATTGAGGCACCAGTCACAGGTATCACATGGTTTAGGGACGTTTCCAAGCTTTTCATGGCAAGCTGAATTAGGCTAAACCTGGAACTCATTTTTTATGATCTTCAGTTAAACATATGAACGACTGTAATGTTTTGATATGTCGTAGTTTGAAAATGGGCTCTTCTGTCAGTGATTTAGCATGTTTAGCATCAAAGCCATGGGCCTTACTCATCTAAATTAAAGCTAGCCATTTTATTATTAGGCAGTTTTATTAATAAGCAGTTTTGTTTACCTTTTTCAATCCTATTTAAATCATTCCTGGTGTTTATTTTTACCCCCAAACAGGGGACAATTATCTAAAAAGGTAACGTACAATTGAGGCTGATGACTCCCAGTAAATTTAGCACACATCTGTTTCAGCAGTCATCCAAATCACATATATCGTTGATATGTTGATGTGCATCCTAGTCGCTGATCTGATGTCTATTCTTTGTTCGTATGCATTGGTGTTGAGGAGCTTTTAATGAGTAATCCTTCAATTTATTTGTCCTTGCAGTATAAGTATGAGAATAGCTTTTTACTTAGCTACTCTTTAAAATGGGAAAGACAATAGATCATGCTCAAATGAGGTAAATGTGTGTTTGTCATCATTACTCTGAAAATGCCAGTAAGAATATAGTTGCTTTCCTAAATGTAATCTTATCTGCGGTAATGTTAATAATTCAAATATTTAAAATAACCGAACCAAACTGGACGAGGATTCGAGGTTGTATTGTCGGATGTGGTGGGTTGCAGTAGTTTTATTGAAGAAGGAAGAAATAATGACTCCAAAGTTGAAACTGAGTCTTAAAAATAAAGCACGCACTATTTAGTTATTGATTTTGGCCCTGGGGCAACAGTTTGGTAGATAATTATCGCAGACAGTGTGTTCTTTGGTGTTGCTCAGGATGAGTATTTTTAGTCCGCCTCCTTCTTTTGATCTTTGTTGTTGTTTCAGGCCAGTCGATGTTTGGTTCAGATAGGAACTTACCAGCAGAGCTTTGCTGGTGTTGCCCGGGTCAGATCTAAACTTTAAGTAGTTTTGCGCTGATTGTTTTGATGTAGGAAAACAGAGATCACTGGATTAAAAGGAGACTAATTGAGACATTTTCAGTCTATGGCAAATTTTGTATTTTACACCATTTACAGAAAGACTTTATAGACTTAATAAGAGTTGGTATTTCAGGAATTATGCTTTATTTCTTTACATTTAGACCCACAAATAATTGTTTTGTAACTACACCAACATATAACATAGGACAATTTAAATTTCCTCTGATTCCCAAAGGTTTAGTTCTCTGGACATTTGATTTTAAACCACTTCACGTGGTTCGTTAATGCTTTGTTCACTTTCACGTGCATGTTTAATACGACAAGATGCACGATATTAAATACACATATAAGCACCAGTATTAATTCATTAGCTCACGATCAGCTCAACATTTTCAGAAGTGACAAAGTGACGAAAGTCACATCTTCAGGCCTCAGCCTCCTGGTCTAAACAGATGCAGAACGTATTGAGGTGAAAATCTGTAAAAGTATTGTGCGCGGGCATTTGTGCGTTTGTTTCGTATCTTTGTGAGCTCGACTGCATTTGAATTTCAATGTGGCTTTCGCCTGCATGTAATACATGGGGTGTTTGTGCACGGGCCTGCACCTATGTGCGCATGTGTGTGTTTGATTGCTTTAGTCACACAAGCAGTCTCCCACACACATTGCTCTGAGCTTTGAGTGGGCGAAGGCCACTGTGGAGCTGATAGGGGAGACGGAAAAGCGAGAGGAGATGGAGGATGAGCAGGAGAGAACGAGACAGAGCGAGTTGATAATGAAAAATTGAAGGCAGCAAGGAAATGAGATGTAGGCTTGCACTCCAGAGCCATAGTGTTCGCTGTGAAAAAAGCATACATCTCCCTGGGGGCTTGGGTTTCTTCTACCCCTTTGAGGTTTGCGCTTCTCATTTCTCAGAAGTAGAGGAAGGAGGCCTTAAAGACCACAGAAATATCTCATTACCATCATGTCCTCGATGTAATTGCTCAAAGTACTTCCATAATTATTTAAAGGTCTCGTCAGTAACACAAATCATCTTCATTATTTCCAAACTATAATTGTGTTTGTTTGTTTTTTACATTTTGTACAAACAACAGACATATTGCGTGGACAAAATCTTGCTTTACTCACTGATGATCTCAGCACCAATAATGTGCTCTGCTTTGTTGTTTACAAACATCGTCACCATGATTTTATTGTCACTGTATCTGCATAAATATCTTCTGATCTTCACGGGCGCAGATTTATACGTCTGTTTCAACACATTATTGCACGTGGCAGACGGATTGCATGAGATGGGTCAGAATTTGTATTTACACCTCGACTATTGTCATTGTGATTTGTTGTTATCCCATGTCACTGCAAGACTGACGATAAAAAAGGCGACATGGTTCTTTGATAGCGTAGCAGATGTCTGCGGAGGATGGCTAAAGCCCTTCAAAGCAATCTCCTACATTTCTTCACTAAAACTGATATGTTCATGGTAATGTTGGCCAGGTAGAGGCCTAAAGCAGTGGCCTCAGTCTGGGCAGACCTGCTCACATGTGAAAATGTAACAAACATTATTTATGTATGCTACTTTACCTTTCTTTACCTTTTTTTTTAAATTTTCATATAGACAAAAGCTTCCTGTGAATAGGCGGTAAAAACTAGCAGGTTTGTAATAAAGATTAAACACAAGGCATCTGGTTCACACCAATGTGTGTGTATTGTCTATTTTAAATGAATAAAATAATGCAGTGCTTCCAATAGGGTGGATTTTTGAGGTTATACTGCTTTTTGTATGCCTGTTTTTGACTTCCTCTCTGAACACCTGTTTTTATTTTCCTGGTGATAAGATGTAAGCTATGTGACACATTGTTTTTCTTTTTGATCAACATTGGGGATGATCTCTTGAGACTTTGTTCTGGTAAAGACTGATTTTTGGTATCTGTTGAGAGTCTGATCAGCTGATTTATCTCTCATATACACTTCTCACTATTGCAAATCTGCATTTCTTTTCCATGATGTGGAGGAACGCTCAATTTGATCACAATAAATCAGGCTGCCAAAGATTTTGTGAAAATGTCGACAATGAGCTCTCGCACACCTTTAATGTTAAAGAAGCAACTGAAATATTGCAGCAATGACTCACTATTAACATTATTTAAAATCACTCAAAGCTGTGGTGTCTGCAATGATGTGGATTCATTTATGCTTGAATCTGATAAATTGACCTACTTTCTGTTCTATCCTTGCTATCTCACCATTCGGGACATCTCATGTGGCATTCATCTCCAGTTAGGTCATTTGCAGTGACATTGCAGTGGTAATGTCACTGCAAAAGGACCTGGTTATTCTGCAGGTGAACATTGGGAATGCCACAACCTTGACCCCAGTTCTGTGCAAGTTAAAGCGATTTTATTTGTGCACAATAAATGAGCTGCACAATTGGAGTAACAAAAAAGCTTCACTTTTTGATATTCCAATTAAAGGACTGCAGAAATGTTAGCCAGACAAAACAATCTTATGCTTGATCGATTTATGACAAAGAAATCGATGGATTATTAAACATTTATCGTCATCACTTTTCATCTCATTAAATGACACATAATACCATGAGAAAGGATTTTAAGTTCATATCACCATTCATTGGCCAGTGGAATGGTTTGTTACCATGGAGACGCTTGACTCAGGCTGACTGTGGAGTCACACTGATTTCCTTTGCAAGTTTTCCTACTGCTGGGCATCAAGGGATGTAAAAGCTTCCTCTCCCTCCTAAGTACTCTTTGATCTCCCAAATAATAAAATACGACTTCACCAACAGGAAAAATGCCTTTCTGGTTTTCATTATTTTGTACTAAACCAAAATCACAAAAAATACCCCCAAAAACTCTTCAGTTACCTGTTGACCTGTTTTTGTTGGGTCTGATAAATTATTCACAATTGAAATGATGCTAATAACGAGGCCTGTGTTTTCCTTGAATAGATTATTAGATTAAACTAGCAGTAAACACAGTACAAATTCAACTAAAATATAATGCATTTAAATAACATGAACATTTATTGATGTATCTCTAATTTAAAGGAATTCTTTATGTTTATATAATTCAGGACATTTTTTGGTAAACTTGACAAAGTTGCTGTGCTCAAAAAAGTAACATTCAGAGGAAAAATTTTAATTCACCACCATACTTCTATTTTTTTCCTTTGCTCATTTTCTAGTCTGTGGGGACATCCACGGTCAATTTTTTGATCTTATGAAGTTGTTTGAAGTGGGAGGATCGCCAGCCACAACACGGTACCTGTTCCTCGGGGACTATGTTGACCGTGGCTACTTCAGTATTGAGGTGAGAATATATGTTTGTATGTGCTGAAAGGAAGAAAAAAAAAGATTCTTAACAGCAGTGGATGCGTGCTCTAAAATAACTAAATCTATGCTTGTCTGTCTGTTTGCTCTGACAGTGTGTTTTATACCTTTGGTCGCTGAAAATCCTCTATCCAAAGACGCTATTTTTACTTCGTGGAAATCATGAATGTAGACATTTGACAGAATATTTCACCTTCAAACAAGAATGTGAGTACCTTCGCAGGGTTCAACGCGTTGCTTTTGAGGCTTTTCTTCTAGTCTTGGCATGCTTTTGTGTAGCCTGCAGCATGTCTGGAGGAGCTAATCCACTATAGCACATGTGACAGTATGAAAGGTTGGAGTTTTCTGTCAACAGATGAAAATTTGATGTTGATAGCTAAATGTTTTAGTGAAAAATATGAGTTCAGACTTAGCATTAATTCTCATCCGTGCAGCTGATCCATCGTTTTGTCTATCAGGTAAAATCAAGTACTCAGAGCAGGTGTATGACTCATGTATGGATGCATTTGACTGCCTTCCTTTGGCTGCACTCATGAACCAGCAGTTTTTGTGTGTCCACGGAGGACTCTCACCTGAAATACACACCTTAGACGACATTAAAAAGGTAATGGAGAAACAGTAGAACGGCGTCCCCCACGTAACGCTTCGTTATTTTTGTAGTTTTTTTTTTTATGCCTTAAAACGTTTCTCTTCTTCGTGTTAAGTTGGATCGGTTCAAAGAGCCGCCAGCGTTTGGGCCCATGTGTGACCTGCTCTGGTCTGATCCTCTGGAAGACTTTGGAAATGAGAAAACCCAGGAATACTTCAGTCACAACACAGTGCGAGGTTGCTCCTACTTCTACAGGTGAGCGCAGGAATAATGTGGGTTTGAGGGTAACCTCCAAAGGAGGTTAAAAGTGGTGAACTTTATATCTGATTTGTAAATTCTTGTTTGGCAGTGAGTAGTTATTTTACAGTCTTTTTTATTGTTTAGGTTCTTTGCTTGTTGTTTTTTTTTTTTAAAAAAAAAAGCTAAACTACTTTGGTCTCTTGTTAAAAACATGGACAATTCAGATTTAACCTGAATTATTCTGCATCACAAAAAATCACTAATGACGTAATTAGTCCATGTCCTGCATGGATACTCCATTGATGCACCTCATTTTCAATTGATACCATTACTAACAATATGCACAGAGAAACTATACTCTCAGAGTAAGAGCAGATAAGTTGACCAAAGAGCTGATTGCCCCATCCTGTCAGGTTTCACTCACCTGGCTGTATTTATCTACAACCAGATGATTTCTCACATATTTCCATCCTCTTAAACTGGCACTTACAGGAGGAGGTCCTGATACGAGGGATATGAATATTTTTATAACAGTTTTTCTACTTTAACATGAACATTTTCACATCTGATACCTGGTGTTTACCTAAAATTCAGCATTGCTGTTGTTTATGAATTCAAGTCACCGTTCTTGAGAATAACTTAAAACATGAAAATGTGCTATTTTCAGCTTTTTTAGAATTACTTACAAAACAATTAGAGTATTTTTAGCTGTCTTAAAATATAACAATGCATTTATAGGCGCATTTCAATCACTTGACAGAAGGATTTTGTTGGTTGTTTGTGGCAGCTTGTTGGGAACAGACGTTCATGGTTTAAAATCTTTTACCTCTGAAGGAAACAGAAAACATGAGTGTGAGACCATTTTAAGTCCTTGCTTAAAGAAAGAGTACCACCGCACCAGGCGCCTTTTTCTGGCCTTTTTTGTTTCTGTTACCTTGTAAATGCTGTGGCAACACGGTACCTGTAGTCCAAGACCACTACTAGTTTCTACTAGTAGAAACACCACTACAGGTGTTTCTACTAGTTTTCTAGTGAAAACAGCCTGTCCCTGTCCCTGTCGACATCAGCCTCTCTACCGTTTATACAGATGATGCTTTCGACTTCAACGCTGATTTTAAATGAACTCCCCCCTTGATTCATGGACTCTTTTTAAGTCCACTAGTTTTCTAATGAAAACTAGTAGAAAAGTCCTTTTATACTGAATTCAGTTTGAGAGACATCTGTGTAGTCATTGTTATGAAACCACAGTAAATACAAACACATTATTAAGAACCGCTAACAGCCTCTGGTATATAAAGATCCCTGGGTATTAAACGGTTTTATATTTCAGCCTGCATTGCTTTTTATCCCTGTCATAAAGTCCAAATACTACAGTGATCACAGTCACTTGGCTCATGTGGCTGTTGTGTCTGCAGCAGCACTTATGAGTTGCAGGTCACACTATGCAATATATTGAACTGTTTTAAATTATGGTTACACAGGTTTTCTTGAACGCATCATTTCTTCTCTAATTAGATTGAGGAAAACATCAGAAATCAAAGAAGGGAACCGTATATAAATAAGATCAAAATTTTTACTGATATCTGGTGACTAAGTGGTGACTAGAGATTAAAAATAGATATTGAGATTATAATCTATTCATAGACATCAAATGCAAGACAACTTAAAAGAACGAAAAGCTCATAAAGAGATGGAATGATAGGCAGGAAAAAGGAGACTCAAAAGTATTTGCATCAGTCAAGTCAGGCCAAAATAATAAGAGGTGAGATCTGACCTGATATTGCTGTGGGACGGCAGGGAGCTGGTGGTGGAAAGGGGAAGACGTTAGGTATCAATTATAGCGAAAATATTCTTAATGAAAGCTCAGAACCTGAACCAGATTGGCTCCGAAAAAATCTGAAAGACTTTCTGGGTTCCTTCAGAGGGGAAATCACAGTCCAGGCAAGTGTGTGCTGCTAAAAATCATATTACAGCTAAAATTTAATTTTCTCTGATTTTTGCAAGGACCTCTGGCAGTTTCACAAGAGACACAACGACAAGTACAGCCATGAATATTTTTATCCGTTATTGCGCTGTGTACTCTTCTCAGGGTTTTTCTCTTTTTCATATGATTTCAGAAAATGTGCAACTACTTCAAGGAGACAGGTTTTATTCTCAGAAATTAGCTTCTCTGGACACAGAACATCGTTTTGTGGTTGGCTGGATATTAAAGCAACTTAGTTCAACACAAAATGCCTCTTTTTATTAAATTTTTTTACAGAAGACTGGAATGCTAAGAGCATTAGCAATGCTATGGGGGAAAATAAAATTCATATTTCTTATCTTCATCTTACTATTTATGTTAGCACAGCAGCAGAGTTGGCTCAGAAAAGAATCACTTTAAAACTCCTCAGTTTAAAGAGTAAGTTTTTTATGATTCATGTTTAGATTTTTCCCATGTGGAAAGGATAATAATGATAATAGTTGTCTATTCCAGCTCATGGTAACAGATAATACATTGGTCATTTTAAAAGGTTAAGTTTAATAAAACATGACACTGTGACCAGCACAAACATAAATGAGACTGTTATGAGCAAAACGGTAACCTAAAAGTCAAAGTACTTAGCTAATATCAATGAAAACAATCCGGTTGCCTTAGATGAATGAAACAAAACGCTCTCTCTTCCACCAGAGTGAAATGGTCGCCGACTGGTTTTCAGTGAGATGGGAACTCACTAGTGAGGATTGTTCTCTACATGTGTGGAGGATGCTGCTATTATAGTCATCTATCTCCCCCTGGCTTTGTTCTGCCTTCACTCTCAAACACACCTCTCCGTCATTATGACTCTCAACATCCCTACAGTATGGATGCAGCACAAAGTACCAAATTCTAGTAGGAAACTATGAGAGAAATGCAAAAAAAATGTTTTAAAAATCTGTTTCAAACACAGTGTTTACAAAGGCAAGGTTAAGATAGGATGGCAACTTCATAAAGACTGTGTTTTGGGTTGGAAATCAATTGGAAACTTATAAATAATTCTCCATAAAACTGAATACCTCTGATAATCTGAATTTACTGAAGTAGTGCTAATTCAGCAGCATCTGGAAAGCGAGTCAGAGTTGATGGAAGGATGGAGAGAGCAACGCACTGGAAGGAAACTTGCATAAGACCTGATTGTGGAGTTGAGGTTAACATACAGGCTATGCTACAATGGACCATATTCATGTGTTCAGATGTCCCAGTTAAAGTATAACCCTAAATCTAAAGAATATGCTACATGACTTAAAAATTGCTCTGCATTCTGCATCCTTATTATATGTTGAGGTTGATGCAAATGCAAACCACTTTTCTCAGATTTTATTAATAAAAACCGGAAACCAAATAAGATTTTTCTTCCACCTCACAACTGTGTCCTACATTGAGTTGTTTAGCCACATAAAGTTACAATGAAATACCATGTATGCTTGTTATTGTAGCCTAAAAACAAACGTGACCAAGTCAAAATTAACCATTTTTGATAGGACACCACTGTGGTTAAACCTAACAGAATCGGACCTTAAGTCATAAGCTAGACTTTAAGAATCTGACTTAAAGTCTAGCTTACGTTTCGTCTTGGCTTTCTATCTTTGCTCACATGTAATTTTTTTGTGCAGTGATTACAAGATGAACTAAGGAAGATTTTTTTTTTTTTTTTTTTAATATTGGGGGGGGAAATGAGTGCGATGACCAGCAGCCTCACAGATGGATTATCTTAGGTGAAAGAAAAGGGAAAAAAAAAAACTCTCGGTTTCACACTCACGACGCAGCACTTCCATCCCTCTCTGTCTCTTTCGCTCATACTCACTTGTCAGATTTTTCACTCGTTCTCAGTCACAGGCTCACCAACACATATCATTGTGTGTTTTCACAAAGGAGAGAAAAGGAACGATCGGAGGGCAGCTATCGAGTCCATATCGTGTTTTTCCTTGCATTAATCGATCAATGTAGTTTGACCAAATAAAATGGGACTAAAATATTAATGTGTGTTTGATTAGTTCATGTGAATATTATTATAGATTTTGAAACAAGGCGAGTTTCAGGCTTATGTCTGACATTAAAATGTGCTGTAGATGTTTTTTTAATAGAAACGGTTATATAACGTTCTTTTGAGTGCAGTTATCTTGCTGTGTTGTTAAACTCAAATGTCAGCCACAGAGGAAACCTTAGAACATGTTTCCATAGCTACGCATGTAATTTAAAGCATATTTTTCTCCTCGAGGGAGTGTTACCTATGTGACCTAAATAAAAGGGGAAGGATGGCACAGTTTTGCTAGGTGCTTAGGGCACAACAGTCCCCTTGTTTTTCTTCCGGCATAAACCTTGGAGCGCTTTAATATTTTAAACACCGCTGAAAGTTTGATGGGTCCACGGATGGCAGTGACTGCACGGAAGAGCAGCAGAAGACGATTATTACTGAGAAGGTTTAACTTGGTGGTATTAGGAGTTTTACGTTTGAGTCAATTTGTAATTTAAATTTCATGAGTCAAAATGCAATAATCGCATGGTTTATTCTGCTGGGGGCGGGGAGAGAGGAATTTAGAGACAGTCTTAAAGAAATGTATAGACTTTACCGGAAGTAATTTAATGAGCATGATGATTAAAACGAAAGAACTGAAGAAATTATTGTTAGTGTCACACAGAAACAAAGATTGATCATAGCTGTAACATCTAGTGATTCTGTTTTGCATTGAATATTCCAATGTGACTACTCAGTGTACACACAATGCATTTCCGCTTCTTTTTGTGTTCTTATTCTTTGCCTTCACAGTAGGACGCATTAATCTGAATTATGATCAGTGCAAACAGTAATTAAATGACTGGAAATTTAAACTAGTGCCCTAAAGATGCTGGAAAAGCCTTTTACAAAAATGATCTATTTATTAAAGTTGCATAATCTCCTGTTGAGAAACAATCAGTAGGAGATTATGGCTACTCGTTTATGCCTCCATTCGAGCTCTTTATGCTTTAGGTGTCCTGGTGTCTCTCTGTGTGCGTGAAGCTTGACGCTTTCAGCAAAAAGAAAACAAAAATGATCCAGTGTGAAAAGCAAATAACAATAAAAATGATCAAAGACACACACGTGTAGAAGAATAAAAGGAAATATTTTTGATTATTCAAAGCTTAAGAAAAATCACAATGATAAACCATTTTTAAAATAACAAATTTGCATTTAAAATATACAGGAACAAATCAGCAAATAGCAATAAATAAATAAATAAGAGCCAGCCTAAAGCAAAAAGCCGGCTAGAAGTGAGCAGCTTCACAGATACATTTTAGCATTAAGTAACATAATAATATGCTTTTGATTCTTTACGATGAGCTGTAAAAGCTCTGTCATGCAGATGCATACACTTCTGAAGGTGCCCTGTGGTGTATCAGGTAGCACGATGTCTGGGAAAGCTTCTTTAAGTCTAGCTAATTTTAAATTAAAGCCTATAAACTAATTAATACTCTCACCACTGCTTCATGTCAGCCGCAGCTTGTTCTTGACCTCAAGGATGCTCAAGGATGCAGAAATGAATATGGATAACCTAATAGTGATGGCCTTATAGAATATATATATAAAAAAACACACACACACAATATTTTTCAAATGTGCATCAGGAGAAAAATAATGCAAAAAAAGTAAAACAGATTCAAATATGGGAAACTGAAACAATGAACAATTTTAAATAGATTCTTGCTCATATTGAGTACATGTTTTTTACTCGGTAAGGTTTAGCTGCACAACAGTAATGGGAAATGTAGAGGCGCTCAGTCTCAACTTTTTCCATTTTTTCAATAACCAGCCACATATTTGACAGTTTTCATTACTGTGCTAAATCCATCTTTCACATAGAGATACTTTGGATATTGTCAGACTTGCTGTAACCTTCACTCTTATCTATCTGCTGATCAGGTGAAATATTACAGATTTAGTTAAAAGTTGAAACATTTGATTTGTAATCTTTTCCTGACCGGCTGCAGGGTGAGGGTTTATGCATTTAGGAAATAATGAATGCTATGAAAAAAAAAGCACAACTACTTTCTTCCCCTCCAGTAAATTATTTAATGAAAGAGTGTAATGTTTTGTTTGAATGTATTTAAATGTATTTCATGCCTGTTAAATATCTGTCTTAACTTTACACTATTTTCTTTTTAATTGTTTTTTTTCTGCCTAAACATCGATTTTTTCTTTTATTTTCCAGTTATCCAGCTGTATGTGAGTTCCTACAGAGCAATAACCTATTATCAATTATCCGAGCACATGAAGCACAAGATGCTGGGTACGTTGAAACAAAAAACACATCTGCGAAAATAATAAAACATTTCTTGACTGAAGACAAATCCAACTAGATTTTAAATTTCTGAATAAACTTTTTTTCTGTTTCTCTCTTCACCTCTTCCTTTCTATGCTGAAGTTACCGGATGTACCGTAAAAGTCAGACAACTGGATTCCCATCCCTCATAACCATCTTCTCTGCGCCAAATTACCTGGATGTTTACAACAATAAAGGTCAGATTTTTTTTTCTTTCTAATTTTCAGTTTTTTCTTTTTATTGTTTCTTTGCACCTTTTATTACATTAATCTTTGTCTTATTTCTGCACATTAGAGAGTTGCTTTTTGGTGATTTTTGAGTCACAGAAATTGGCCCACTATGACAAGAAGCTTTTAAATGTGTCATCCTCGTGCATATGACGTATTCAACTATCTAAGGTCAAATAGAACATATATATTTTTAATTGTATTTAAAAAATGTAAAGTAGGAGCCTAATGGTGTAAAAGAGAAGTGTCTTAATTAATTATCTCCTATAGTTGAAGTACCCCTGCTCTTTTAAGCACATTTCAGTTCAGATTTTAATTTTTTGCACAATTTCACAGATGTTTGCTAAATTTTCCAGGACTCTATGTGTCACTAAAGTGAAATCTGACATTTGAGAATCCTCCAAAAGCCACCCTGTCAGTTGTAAATAATTACCAAGACTTCCTGTGATTTTCCGTGAAAATGATTTCAACTAACAAATTGAAGTGTGTGAGTTAATATAAGTGCGTTTAGCTGTGAACAGGCATAATAAAGCATCAGGGAGCCCCCGTTTGTTTGTGTTCTCAGATCTGCGTCTTGGTTGCCATGGGCTATGGGAGATGGGGAGTGTGGGAGGGACTGTCAGCATTGCTGACTATCTCCATGTGGCTTTATGCCTCTTGATGTAACAGTGTCAGCAATCCCTGGCCTCAGCAAGGCCACCTAGTGGATGAATACTGCATTTTCTTTTCTCTTCCTGTTTCTTCTAATAAACAATATTAAATGTAAACCGAGCCTTGTATCTATAAGAAGGTGTAAGAGTATTCTATGCCTTCATTTAAAAAGTTGTGATTTTGTGGTGGATTTTAGAGTAATGACGCCAGAAAAGCGAGGTTATCTTTCAATTCATTGCATTTTTAACTAGCTGCTTACAAACAGCTCAAGGTTATTTTGAGTCAGATATGTTAATATAATTGTTGTGTTGTCGTCACAGTGTCGTTGGCCAATATCTTTCTGGCATAGCGTTAGTGATTAGTTTGCAATCGCAAATTGCCGGCTGCAAACTCACACTTTACTTTTACTTCAAAGGGAATGCTTTATTAATCTTGACATCACCTTATCATGAAGTTGTGAATTCATAATTAAAAAGATAGACTTCTCATGCCTCAATAGACCTCATATAATTGCGTTGATCAGGCAGAGGAATAATAATCTTGATCTGAAATCTAAATATACAACATCTGTGCCTTTAAAAAAAATCCTTGATATAAATTAAGCTTTTATTGCAGGAGCAGAATCTTCCTTGTGATCCCCTCTGTTATCTTGTGTCTTTGTCTGGTCTAATTGTCACAGCTTCTGTTGTTTTTTGCAACTCTGATTGTAAACAAATCTTTTTTCTTTTTTTTTAATTTTCACAAAAACTCTATGCTTTTTTTTAATCAGCAATGGCAGTAAATGTAGATGTCATTAAAACAAAACAAAAAAATTATCAAATCTTAACAATCAGGTGTTTGTCTTATGCAGTATGACGTAGTTTGATGGTGATTGTATGTAACGAGCTGGACATCACACAGCATCATTTAGGTCCGTTGGTTGTAAGGAGGAGTTGGGTTCAAGTGGAACATTTTACTCCCCTGTTCTCGCTGCTTCCCTTACAGCTGCTGTACTGAAATATGAAAATAACGTCATGAACATTCGACAGTTCAACTGCTCGCCACACCCCTACTGGCTGCCCAACTTCATGGACGTCTTTACTTGGTCCCTGCCTTTTGTTGGGGAAAAAGGTAGAAACCTTCCTCGCTTCTATTACGTTGCCCTGTAAAATGTTTCTGCCCCCATTGGATGTTTTACCCTTTTTATAGCTTGTACAAATCACTTGTGATCAACAAAGTTTGGCTTTTTTGAGGGGGAAAAAAGCCCCTTAACAGTCAAGTGAAAACAGATTTCTGCTAAGTAATAACAGTTAAATAAAAACATAATGTAAGTGGATGCATATCCCTTCCTCTCAAGTCATTAGATGCACGCTGATCTAGGCAGATCTAGAAATGGAAAGGATCAGATCCTTTCCATTTCTAGATGATGGATTGAAGTGAACTCCAGTGGCTTAGAGATTTATTTTTGTATCCCTCCCCTAACATATACTTTTCTCTGATTTGCTGATTTCTTTTGTCTTCATGCTGTAATGGTAGCCAGGAATACTGATTAACCAGTGACAGGCTTCCAGAGCCAGGTGTTTTTATACTCAGGTAATCTCCATTCCACTTATTGTGAGACTAATAGGACCAATTGACTAGACCACTGTTGAATTAAGTCAGACATTTTGAAGAGGTTGAATATTTATACAATTACTTATTTCGTCAAAGCAATGAAAATGGCAAAACATCCAAGGAGGTGAATAATTCTTATAGACACTGTAAGGCAGCTTATCTTTATGCCCTGGTTTGTTTCCTGCACCGCTCAGTGACTACCTGCTTCCTGTCCACTCTTTCCTCCACAGTCACCGAAATGTTGGTGAATGTGTTAAGCATCTGCTCTGATGATGAACTCATGAATGATGAAGATGAGATATTTGATGGTGAGAAGTCTAAAGAAGAGCGTTTCATAATTCATCTTTTATATTTCTCACGGGTACATTGTGGGTTCAGGGTTGACCTAGATCTGCACACGCCGCTGTTCAGAAAGGGAAAACAGCTCAGCAGTTGTTATTTAGGATCAGATTTAAAGCTGCATGTTAGAAAGAAGGCATGGAGTGTTGTTTTTTATTATTTATTTATTTTTTATTTTTTCAAAAATGACTGATTACTTGTTATTAAGGTCTCTACTTACCGGTCCAGACATACACAAAAAAAATCCTTGTTTATTTTATAATGTATTTAATGAATAAAAAGCTTTCAGCTTTTGATCTGTCAGAGTCAACCAAAGTGGCAAATTCTGATTTCTGTCTTAATGATTGATGCATCTCTAGACATAAGAACATATCATTTCATTTTGACTTGACAAAAAATACATTTCTCAAAATTGACATAATAGGAAAATAATAGAGCGTTGTTATGGTGTGTGCCTATAATCGCTGTGGATGGATTACCTCTGTTTGTTTGCAGCCAATGCAGCCGCGGCTCGCAAAGAGGTGATCAGAAACAAGATCCGTGCTATTGGAAAAATGGCCAAAATGTTCTCAGTTCTCAGGTAGACGTTTTGCTCAAGAGTGTGTTAGCAAATGGAGATATGATTGTAGTGTACATCTTGAAACACAGACATTATATAAGGTCTGTTTTGTATGCGTGTGTGTGTGTGTGTGTTTGTGTGAGTGGGGAAAGTGTTTTTTCTCCAGTCTGATCTGGGTTCAGCATAGCTTTCTGACCTGCTTGCTTGTTTCTGTTCTTCCTGCAGAGAGGAGAGTGAAAATGTGTTGACGCTTAAGGGCCTGACGCCCACTGGCATGTTGCCAAGTGGGGTTCTCTCTGGAGGCAGACAGACACTGCAGAGTGGTGAGCAGAAGGCTCGGCCTAAGTCTTTTTCTCCAGCACTGGTTCTCTCTCTCTTTTTCATTTTGGTTCGTTCTTGTACTCATCAGCATTCTCATCTCTTCCATTGCCTTTATCTATTTTTCTATCTGTCTCTTTCTCCAATCCCCCTTAAATAAAGAGCAGCCAGTAAATGCTGTTTTAGTCTCTTGTTGGATCTTCCAATGATATATTAATCCAAACCTTACGGGGTATAATTTAGAGTTTTCTGCTGCCTATTGTCAGCAGCTAATGTGTAGTATGGATTTTTAAGGGTTCTGTGACAAAGTTATTTGCAGTCAGTATCTTACTTGTAGCCGCAGCTTATCAACTGAGGCCAAAATCCCATCCCGATGAAACAACAAAAGTTTAGTTTAGACTTGTTTTGAAGGTGGTCGAAATATGCTTATCCTCATATACTGGGAAAAAAATAATTTCTACTGGGGAAAAAAATAACACTACAACATCTTAATCAGATCTAAAAATGTTGAAAATAAAAGTTCTGAATTTTTATGTTGTAGTATTACTTTTAACAAGCCCTGACACTCCCTTCAATGTGGTTGAATAAACACAGTTCTGCAAAGAAGCACTAAACAAATTTCCTCCAGAGAGATGCAAAGACACTCTGCCAATTATCACATCGTGCTTGATAGCAGTTGTCACCAAGGGTGGCACAGCTAGTTAATAGGTTTAGGGGGTAATTACTTTCTTACATCAGGCCAGGTAGATTTGAGCAGATATTCTCCACTATCAAAAGAAGTCATCGTCATCATCAGTTTTTCAAATGACTTGGGTTATCTTTGACTGATTCAATTGTTTTGATGATCTAAAACATTTCAGTGTGACAAAATTGTCATAGATACATAAGGGCGCTTGTACTGATTGGTCAAGCATAAACAGCGCTGAGAAATTATTTCCAACGCAAAATTAGAAATACAGTATAATTTGTCCACCATTATTGACATTTGAGAGAAATCATATGCGTGACAACACCTCCCTTATGCGGTCGTCCTGCTCTGTATTTTTTTTTTTTAAAGTGAATGTGAAAAAGTAGTTTCTGTAAAACAGGGTGCCACTAACTCAGCACAAGCAGAAATAATTATGGACCTGACATTTCCAACCTTTGACATCTGATCTTATATTAAGCTCATAGTCACATGGACATTTTTATTCACAAAAGCTGGGGGATACTCCTCTACCCTCCCGGGTGTCCGCTCCCCCCCATGCGTCCTCCATTTTGCTTTTACAAATCGCTCACAAGAGAGAATGCCGCTGCATACAGCCTTCCTCCATGGACAACAATGTTTGACCGTCTTTGTAGTCATTTAGTGCAGAATCATGCAAATGTACATAATTCCCCACCACATCTGATAAACGTTCCTCAAAAGTATTCATGCGTCCTGGGAATGCAAAAACAGGAGAGTGGAAGCTGACCAGTTAAAGCGAAATATCAACACTGATGTTATAGTGCATTTTGGCATAAAACACGGCAACAAACTTCAGGCGAATCACGTAACTCACCACGCAGAACCATGTGCCAAACAGAAGAGGACGCAGATGCGATTTTCATCACACGACTTGAGTTAATGAGAGCCGATTTCAACACCTTGGATGAAATGTAACTAGGATAAATGTTTTCTTTTGGGTTCTCTTAACATTGTAGCAACTTCCACACTGAGAATGTAGCATAAGGTGCTTATATATTGTGTTTTCAATGATTGGAAAAGTGGTAAATGGTAAAATGTTTTGAGAATTGCAACAGCTTTTATCAGGAGGACCAGGTGAGTTTATTCAGATAAGGACCTTCCTAAGCAATGATATAAACTGGACATGCAGAAACAATTACTACCTCCTTAAGCAGTACAAAGCATTAAAAGTAATTCAGATGCTCTCACATCCTTGTTTGTCATCTCAGCCCCCCGCACTTTCCATCATCTCATTTCTGTGTCTCTCTTTGTGGATCTATTTGTGTGACTTTTCATGAAAACTTTCTAACCCGAGATTGACACTAACTCAGTTTTAATGCATGGCGCTCCTCTGAGTTTGGCTTCAATAACAGTGAACATGTACCACTCATCTGGCCAAATAACATGAGTCGCCTTCTCCCTGGGGCTGCATTATACATTTGCATGGCTTTATCAGGAGTAACCTGCTCCCCTCCTCCCCCCTTCAGCCACCATTGAAGCCATTGAAGCCATCGAGACGCATGATGAGGACAGAGAAGGTAAAACTGGTGCTCCTTGTCCCATTGCTTTAATATGTTATCAGGGTATCCTGCTATATAATATTTCCAGACAATAGTTGAAACAATATAGAGTCCACGCTTAGCTTTTCTATGTTCATAGAGCTCCAACTTATTGTGAAGTTCATCCAAGCAGAGTTAAAACATAAGAGAAATGTTCTTTTTTTCAAAATAATACTTGTTGATTTTATGTAAATAAAGCAAAAATCACCATAGAGTAGATTTGAACTACTTTCTAATGGGAAGAAGTTACATTAGAAACTGTTCTCAAGATGAATAATATCTGTCGAATAACTTGCTTTCCAAAGATATTGTGTCTGAGTCACACGTGTGTAAAATGTGTGTAAGGTGTGCTGGCAGTATGTACGCATATTAGATCAAGATCTGCAGAAAAAAGTCTCCTCTTCATACACCTTTTTTTGCCTCTCTTCACAAGAAGCACATAGAATATCTCACCCATCATAGTTTGCAGTGAGTTTATAGTAAGTCTGTGTTTTCATATTGTCACTTTATTTATTTATTGAACACTGACTCATATTTGGATTGTAAAAGCTGTTTCATTTCTTGGGGGGAAACAAAAACAAACTTTGATCATAGTTTTATTTTGTAATTTAAACATTGCTTATGAGGCAGTGACTCACAATTGGTAATGATGATGATAAAGGAAATTAGCAAAGGGAAGTGTGATTATTATTCTTGATTGTCTCTCCTAGATGTAATAACACTTTTGATGCAGCTAACACTATGAAATCATGACATGTTTGGGCACATGAGAGGATATATCATATATCATATCATAGCTTTTTTTTAACTTTCACTTATAATGGCTGCCAGACGTCTGCATTCACTCATCACGGGCATGATTGTCATAACAATTTATTAATATAAGATGGACATTACAACATTTAGCAACATAAAAAAGGAGAATTAAGTTAACAGGTTTGAATTCATGTTGGATCTTCTGTTAAAATTATACGTATTACCTCAAATGTTTGCATGCTTATCTTGACAAATATTTGGAAACTATTTGGAAGCTTATTTTTGTAGTCATCAGAAAGCTTCTTGCACATTTTTATCTGGATATGTGGAAACTCCTCTTATCAAAAACGGTTGACCACATTTTTTTATCGGCTGACTTCCTGGCAGGGGCCTCGCTTTTAAGCATATTCCACACAATAACCTTAACTTTCTGCTTCACTTGCAAAAGGTTCTGGTAAATTGCACAAAGTATGTGGAATAAATAAGACAGAGGAATACATCCAAACTCTTCACCTTCCTCTTGCTACCTCTTGTTTTTAAAAATCAATCAGAACGGTATGTTGTGTGATCAAGCCACCATGGAAAACTAATTGTCCAAAATGAGAAGCACAAAACTAATGCAGTCCATGATGGGTGCATGTAAACTGTCTGACACAGTAACACGACCTGCGGAATGCCCTTAGATTGTTGAGTAACATAACCCTGACCCTGCGTTTTTCCTCCTCTTCAGCTATTCGTGGGTTCTCCCCCCAGCACAAGATCACCAGCTTTGAGGAGGCTAAGGGCTTAGACCGCATCAACGAGCGCATGCCACCTCGCAAGGACGGGGTGAACCACGTGGGCCACTCCATAGGCAAGATGAATATGTCGGAGGCAAACGGCACAGAAGACAACAGCAACATCCAGTAATGTGTTGTCTGAGCCACGGAAACTGTGCCGCTGTTACAGGCATGCAGGAAGACTTTGCTTAATGGGAAATTCAGGCCTCAGAACACAGAAATCAAACAGGCCTACCGCTAGAACATGAAACCTGCAGCAAATCTAAACACTGGGCGAAAAGGTCATTTATTTCATGACGGCATGTCATTGCACTGTTAGGGGGAGGGGGGAGCTGGGGTTCACAGCAAATGGGCAGGGATGCAGAGAGACCCACAAGCTGCAGCAAAGAAGTGCTTTTGGAAGTTGTGTCCGACCGTAGTTCCCCTTCTCAGTTCGATTACAGACTGAATTGTTGGGAGTTTTTGTGCTGCAAGTGCTGACACACGTGTGCTCCTTCATTGCAGGGCCTGACAGAAAACATGAGTGCAGTATCCATATCACACAAATCATTTTAATGTTTTATAAAAGTATTTATTATGAATCACTCACAAATGCACATCAAAAGGAGAATGATCTACTTTATCTTATTGTTTTTGCTAGTATTAGGTCACATCACTTTGGGAGAGGCAACACGGAAAGAAAAAAGAGACGCAAATATGTAAAATGTGTACCTCTTCGAACTCTGCAGCACGCCATCTTATCGGTGAACTTTAATTTATTGATTAACCTTGTTGTAAGATGCTGCCAACCTGCAGGGAAAAAAAGGAAGACGGGGTTCGCATGTCACGGAGAAATCCACTGCAGACCCAGATCCACCTTGGATATGTCTTAGTAACCTCCGGCATTGCCTGGTTCCTTCTCTCCTCGACATCTGCCATCTTATAGGATCACAGAACCTGGAGGAAAAGAAGAGGTGATTTAGAAGACGCAGTCCCACTGTTTGCTGATGCTACCTCAGCACCCCGGATTAAACACAGAAATTTGACTTCCAAATATATCATTTACTCCTTTTAAGTTCATTATCTTATGGTTATTCACGTCTCTTCCAAAAGAGCATTTTACGTAGGCATGGGCTGGTTTGAGCTTCTCACAACATTCACACAAAGTTTTGAAGCAACATCGTGTAATTTAATCTAACTACCATAATTTAAAAAAAAAAATAAAAAAAAACCCCAGAAAAAATAAAATGGAATTTAATTGGTTTATTTGGCAGGGACACTGATGTAAATGCGTCAGAGTTACCTGAAAGGTCATTTTTATCTGTAGTCCTGGTAAGTCAGCAAATGCAACGAATATCCCTACTGCTGCTGAAATAATAAATTGTTTAATTTTTTTTTATCACTTTTTTGCTATATTTACTTTGATTCTTAGATGTAAGGAAAACTATAGACTAGTAAAACTGAATTTAGTAGCGGTCTACTTTGTAAGTGCTTATTGCACAGAATTATGTTTTTGAGTAACATAAGTATAAAAAGTAAATATTAGCTGATTAGTTAGTAATGCTGCGGCCTCCTGCTTTACAGTATGTTGTTAGCAGTGAGAAAACCGTGGTTTTTACTAAATATTTCCAAATTGCCCAACTTGATATCTTGTATACAAAATGTAGTACCTCTTTCAACCAGCCCATGAACGGCAGCTGCAGCAGATGTGGATGAGCAGCATTGATTACTCTATTCCCTGAAGACCCAGAGAAAACTCTTGCCACTATGGCACTTTCCCTTCTATTAATCTCACTTCAAACTATCCCCAGTGTGATGGAAAATTTAATCAGTTGTAAAGTCATCATATTTTTATTAAGTTATGCATGACATGCATGACATAACTTAATATACATAACCAGCCCATGCCTAATTTCACATCAGAACAGCTTCATGTTAAAAAAAACCAACCTCATTTTACAAATTCATATGAAAATCATTGTTGTTGTTTTTTTCAGGATAATTAAGCTTCATTTCTGTCTCACAATAACCTTTCTTCCCTTCGGCATTAACGCAGCTTTCAGAGGAAAACAAAAGTGACGTTGAATGTCGAGACATACCTCGGTTTCAAGATATTAATGAACTGTTATTTCTCTCCTGCTTCTTGCTAAAGAAATGGCAAGAACACGAACAGTGACTTCAGCATACATCGGTATCCTGCTAATTTTTTGCATCTTTTGCTTTTCCAAAACATTCTTGGATTTTGTGCTTGCAAAATGTGACAAGGAAGGAAGTTGCAGACATTCACCAGGTATCGTTATGTTTCAGTTAATCATAACCAGCATCAGCACTGGTGTTCTTTGGATTTCACAGCCTTCGATTAATCATAATGGGATGAGGGCAATGGCCACGCTAACAAACTACAGTTGCTTTAACCCAGCACTGATTTATTCATGCTCAGGCCCGTCTTTGAAATTTTGACTCTGTGGTTGCCGACATTTTCGCCACTTTCTGACCTGGTGTAGATATCACAGCAGTTTGTTTGGAATCCCATAGCCTGTGTAGACTCAGATTATTATTATTTTTTTTAATGGAGATAAAGTGAGAAAAGATCGTTTTAAAACTATATATCTGAAGTAGTCTAGCAGGACTTTAAAGAATAGGTTTACGGCAAAATGCCTTTTCATTTTGCAAAGATGTATCATTGAATGAGTATAGCTAATCTGTAATACTTTCTTTATGAAAAAAGGCCAACAGGCCAACATTGAAAATTGAATCTTGTATTCAACTATTTAATCAAACTTTAATATTTTTCTGAATTTTTTTTTTTTCATTTATTTTCATTCTAGAACATGATCTAAACTGGATGATTTGATATTAAATAAAAGCTAAAGCCTCACTGTGAGCTAAATGCAATTGATCGCTGTCCCCCAAACAGTGTGTGAGTCTACAATGCCTCTAGAGTAGGACACATCCTGAGTAAAATATCTAAGTTGGAATGATAAATATCTTTGATGCCCACCTCGCAACAAATTTCTTGAATTTTCTGTCATTCATTAATGTTTTCCTGGTCTGGATGCCATTTTTCTTTTCAGTGATAAAGGTGTGTGAAGTAAAGATGAACAAAAAGTGACTTAACACAGCATCTATGTATGGAACGCATCAATGCATGCAATTAAGTTCCTAGTTGTTATGTGAGATTATAATTGTGATAGATAGTTGTGTTTCAAATAGTAAACTTGAATTCATTTATTTTTGGATTATATTTGTAGTTTTGTCTTGTTTTATAAATTTTATAAATAGGCTTCCTTTGGTTGTTTTTGGTATTTTTTTTTGTTTCATTTTATTTACTACCACTGCTTTTAATTTTATATTGATTTCTTGTATGCAGAGATGCCCTTCTAAGGTGTAAAGCCTTGTACTATATATACATTTTTTTCTGTTGTACTAATGTACAGAAAATGTTCAATAGTGTGAATGAATATAATCTCAGTGAAAAGCTACTCTTTCAGGCTGCCAAAGCATGATAGCATGGTTTTCTCAAATGTAAATGAATTGGACACACAGACAAATCAGGTGTCACACATTTAACAGGAAACATTGTATTCTGGTTATATTTACTGCTGATATTATTGTTACAATTTAGCTTACAGTTCTTTTCATTCCTTGGTTTCTGGTTCTCGTATAGTCAAAATGCATACTTCAACAAAGAGATTTAATGGATTTTATCTTGCAACATTTTTTTATCTATGGAGATATGTTTTGGCATTTGACTTCCTAAATAATACACACACTGTAAGCATGCCCTATGGGACAAATCACATTTTTTTTACTCTTGAATAAAATATGCATGAACAGATTGTGTTGTGCAATTCTTTAACCCCCTGGTGTGCTCTTCTAACCTGCAGTTACTTGTGGATAAAACCCTATAATTCTGAAGCCAGTTAAAAGTATTGTACTTGATTTTTTTTATCACATTATAATGGTATCCTGACCTAAATCTGATGTAACTAAATGTAGTTGCTAATATAACTGTATAGCTCTCCTAAATCTGAAGATTCAAAGAGACCCTTCCCATGTAGTGGTTTGCATTAAAACAAACTGAATTATGTATTGAGGCCTAATGATGACTGAGTCATTTTCATGCCTTTGCAGAAATATTAAACTGTTTCCTTTTTTCATCAACATGGTATTTCACAAGGTGGTAAACTCCAATTTGTGGGTATTTCTACACATTAATTGGTTAGAAAATGTAAAGTGTGAACTGCAAAGCTTTAGTTACTCAGTACTTTGACTTTTTTAGTTGTGATTTTGTAAAGCAACATTATTGACTGAAGAAAATAGCTTGGTTTGAACATGATAGAAAATCTGAGATACTGTCAAGAGAAAAATTAAAGATGCCACACCCAAAAAGTTCAGAAAGGTTAAGACTGCTAAAAAGAAAACCTACACTGTTTTATAAGAAGAGACACAAGCATAACCTCCATGATACATTGCAGTGATGCAGTAACTCATGCAAGCAGCCCAGATTAAAACTGTACAGTATTCTCCATAAATTAACACAGCTTTATTATTTGTATGTAATATTTGTGGGAGAAACATTTCATTTTTTACATATCACATATTAGAAAGAGATTCATAATTTGGACTGTCAAATTTATATTATTGAACGATACTAGATATATTTATATATCTGAACTAAATTACTAAAATAAATAATTTTTTTCGTCTAGGTTTTAATTTATGGAAATATTTGGTCATAACTTATGACCAAATAAGTTATCCAACAAAAATGGATTCTTCGAATGGATTGTCATGTCCAATACTGAATATTTTTCAGTCATAAATGAATAAAATCGACAACGAATTTGTTTCCTTTTTTACTGAAAATTAAATTTTTGTTAGGTTTATGATATGTGTTTTCCATATTGCACCTGATGGTTTTGCTCAATAATTTTAACGTGTCGTCTGATATCAAAGATGGTCAAGTGTATTTCCATATTCCTTACTAATGTACACAATAAATACAAAGTCAAAGGCATTTTAACTTGTCCATCAACGATTTCCAACAGTCTTCGCCCGTTAAACCGGAAATGACATCACACAGTGTCGCCTCCACCTTTTTGTCAATCAAAATCTCTGGACATCACAGTAATTTTTAAGAATTCCCCTATAAGCGTCGATTGGAGCTATTCAACGATCATTTCCGACGTTTTACGTGTAAATTATGGCCCAGCGGCAGGCCCGTTGCAGCCGGAGTCCGACCACCACCGGGGGCCAACGGTACTGGGACTGTGAGTGACTGCAGGCTGCGCCGAGCTAACGTTACGCAGCTGTCTGTAACCGAAGCTCGTCGCTTCGTTTTCTTCCTATCTCTCCTTTACCACATGATATTGACGCACATTGTTCTGGTCCAGAGCTGCTGAGTAACCCCCCTAACAGAGCTGTCATGGACAAAGACGAAGCAGACCGGCTCATAGAGAAGGCCAAGCTGTGTTTACGGTCGGGCCGAAAGGATCGGGGACTGCAGCTCCTATACGAGGCGCAGAAAATCTACCCCAGCACCAGGGCCAGAGGTAAAATTAGCTGACGCACATTTTCTATTACTGCACTCTGAGTTGCTGACCGGGGAGCTTATTCCGGGCCTGTGTGGTTGCTGGGAAGCTAGTTTAAAGTTGTTGTGGATTCAGAACAGCAATTTAGCTTTAAACCCTTAGATATGAGTGAGCTTTATGCTAAAATGTAGATCTGCTTGTTTGTTTGCGGCTCCCACGCCGCCCCTCCTCACAGTAGCCTATTTGGAGACCATCAGGCAGAAATGTATTAAAGCCTATTTATTCATGCATTGTGCAGCAGCGTCATCAAACTGCATTATTGTCATACAGGACTCCTGTTGGCACGACAAATAATGCAGCTTGGGAACAGCTTGGTTGTCTCCACTCACATACTTTACATTAAAATCACATACATTTCTGATTAGGATTTTCATCATGGATGTCAATTTCATCTTATTAATGTGGGTCCTTTAGATCAGGCTATGTGGTCTTTAAAAATGGAATTTGCTTCTATCGTTTTCCAGGTGTGAGGAAGTGTGGGAAACATCAAATCTGAGACAATATTGGATATTCAATCTCTCCTGGGACAAAAGTCTGTTAATGCTTAATTAAGACGATTTGTGACAATTGATTGCCCAAAAGAGTTCTGATTTTTGAAGCTGATTTGAGTCAAAGTTGAAGAATTAGCAGTTTGTTCTCCTTCTTTATTCACCCTGCTTTGTGCAATATTGGATACAGCAAAACGGATCCTAAGCATAATGCTACCACCACCATGCTTAGTGGTTAGTAAAGTGTTATTGGATTTGAAAGACTAACTTTGTCTCCTTAAAGCACACTTCTTGTCACTATATGTCGTCTGACCATAAACTTTCTCTTGGGCTTGTTCATGTGATAATCAGACATACATTTTTGAGCAGCTCTTCTCTCTTGGTCTGAACCCACTCAACCATGTTAATGTTGAAGCTTGCCCCACTGTGAACAGTGATCCTGGTTCTAGCATGTTGCAGTTTATGAGTCTGTGTGGCCTTTGGGTTTTTCCTGAATATAATAGGCATTATCCTTAAATTTTAACGAGACCATCTTTGTTTGTTGAAATTTGAGCACTGTTGGATGCGCCAACACAACAGGAATCCTAATATTTAAAAACAATGATATAAACAAAAATGTGCAGCGTAATTCTATCCTCTATTTGCTAATATTCATATCTGTCTCTAAGACGTCTTGACTCAGTCATTGTTGAGTGCAAACACTTGTGTTACTGGTTACAGTGCTGATCGATGCCATACTGAGAAATGGAGGCAGTGCGTCCCAAGAAACGAACCACGTGCCTCCGCCCTCTGGCTGGAGGGACGAGGACATCGGAAACCAAGAAAGGAGGACTACGAATCATGACGAAAAGAAGACTTACACCGAGGAGCAACGCCAAGGTGTTTTCAGGTGAACAGTTCGTCTTCCTTGAGTCTGCCTTTCTGAAAAGGCAATGGTACAATTACAGATGTTAAATTGATGCACTCTGAACATTTTCAAGGTTCCTTCGCACAGTTCTCCATGCTTCTCTTCTAACATCCAGCATGCTTTGTTAATGCAGAATAAAGAATTGCAAGGACTTCTATGAAATCCTGGGTGTTGACAAAGGTGCCAGTGATGAAGATCTGAAGAAGGCGTACAGGAAGTTGGCTCTGAAGTTTCACCCAGACAAGAACTTCGCCCCAGGGGCCACAGATGCATTCAAAGGTACTCGTAAAACACAACATTAAACATTCGTTTTTTGAGGGTGGGGGTAAATAGAAAGGCAGTTTCATATTTGTTGTCAATAATTGTTCATCTTAAACTCATTGTTCTGAGGACCTAGTTGACGCAGGTGTAAAACTAAGGCTAGGTCTAAAGACCAGAAATGAGTGGCTATGAAATTGGACAGACTAGCCTTCAGATTTATTCTTCACATTTCCATAGCACATAGCAGTAACATGCTAAAGATAAGTTGGATGCATTTGGAGGAGCTGTTGAGTTTTGGACAGCTTTCCTCAGCCTTCAAATGCTGCCTTGGAAGGATGCAGCCCATTAATTTTTTGGCATTCACTAACAAGAATTTTTTTTTTTTTTTTTTCCAGTATTGCCATGTTTTTATCTTCTCATCTTTCTCTATCGCTGTTGATAAAAAGCATAGCTTTCTTTCAACAGATTGTTTCTTCTTGCTGCTCTTTTAGGGCAGATTTTACACTCTCTCCATTTACTTATGGGGTGGGTGACCTCTTAAGATAGTCGACTGTACTTGACTTTATTTAGGAGTATCACAGCAAAAAGGGGTGTGAATACAAATGCATGCCACACTTTTCATATTTTATGTGGAGAAATAAATGTCCTTCTACTTCACAATGTGGTGGTTTGTCAAATATGTGTTCAATAAAATAGACTAAAGTGTTCACATTGTGACAAAATCTTAGTGGTACTAATAATTTTTTCTTCTCACCATATCTTCTAAACCAACAAATCAGTTTTACTCCTGGTTTTGAGTCTCTTCCTCTTTATGCCATCAGTCTGAAATCTAGGTTATTTGTCCACTGGTAAAATGCTGCGTCATGTTTTCACGTGTATATCCACACCGATAAACGTCCTGTTGTAAGTGGGGAACGGACAGCACTTATCCTGCCGTTTCCTGTTATTGACCACACAAAGCGCTTTTACTCTCCAAACCGCAGTCCACCATTCACAGGCTGATATAGATGGGTTCACTCAGGGTTCAACGTGTTGCCCAAAGATAATGTGGAGGGAAGCTGAAATCAAACTGACAACCCACCTAAGGAGCGACGACGAGATTTTCTTAATGCGAGCACCCAGTTCTTCAACCAGTTATTTGCAAGGGTTTTCAAACAGAAAAAATATTGGGTGATATCTAGTAAAAGAAGAGAGTTTTTTGAAAGTTTGCACAGATGTCAAGAAGTGGGATGACCAGATCAAATTAGACCAATGTTTCTCAAACTTTTACAGGTTGAGGGCCACTTAACCCATTCAACAAACTCCTAACTTGAAATTGCCCCTGCAATAACACAACATCTTAACTCTTTTATTGTTGTTTTCTCTGTTCATCTTAATGAGAAGTGTGGTGCTGTTTTCTTTTCAAGTTTGTTTGATAGGGACAGACACATTGACATAGATAAACTGAATAAAACAGCAGTCCCATGTTTGCATCATGGTGCAATAGCAACAGCTAATTCGCAGCACTTGTAAATAAGACTAGCCACGACAAACTAAATCTGTCGTTGGCATGCTATCATAACAGTGTTCTAAAAACAAAAGTTCTCCAACTTACCTTGAAAAACTGAAAAATATCCTTGCAGACGTTAATTCCTCCGAACGTATAAGTAGTCATGCCATTGTTCTCTTAAGCCATCTATCATTATTTTTAAACACAATCCTGTGGTAAGCTAACTGTACGCGTCACACTTTGAGCTCACGTCCCACAAATAAACTGTCTTTTACATGCAGTACCTTGCAAACCACTAGAGGGCGCACACGGACCACCAGAGTTTGAGGATGACTTAGCCCTCGCTATTATTTGAATTTCATGAAACGCTTTGTTTCTCCCAACAGCCATCGGTAATGCATACGCAGTGCTGAGCAACCCAGAGAAGAGGCAGCAGTACGATCAGTTCGGAGAACAGAGTCCAACCTCAAATGTACCCCATCGCTCTGGCAACAGCCGGCCCGGACACTACCGGAACTTTTACAGAGACTTTGAGGCCGACATTTCCCCCGAGGAGCTCTTCAACATTTTCTTTGGTGGAAGGTTTCCCACAGGTGTGTGTGTGTGTGTGTGTGTGAAGGAGTTATTTTAACAGATTATTTCTCAGATAAGTTTAAGAATAGTGTGTAATGTTTGACTCTGCAGGAAACGTTCACGTATACACCAACCAGGGCGCCTCCTACTCTCAGTTCTACCAGCCTCGCCGTCGGCGGGCTCACGAAAGGCGGGAGGAGGTGGTGGAGGAAAACCAGAGTCAGGTCAGTGGCTCGTTAACAGCCGCCGTGTCATGATGTCGTCTCCGCCCGGAGAGGCAGCGGTGCTTTAATTAGCCACGGGTCCTGATGAACTGTGGATGTTTTTAACAAGGGTGCAGACGTCTCATTGATTGGATTAAAAGATTACATCAGAGCTGCATATGTAATGCACTTGAACGTGAAGAATCCAATCAGCCTACGTGATTTACAGTCTTTCTTTTATCTTCCCACAGAACACCTTCACAGCTCTTCTGCAGCTTCTGCCTGTGCTGGTGTTGATCCTCATATCAGTCTTTACTCAGATGATGGCAACTAATCCTCCCTACAGTCTCTTTTACAAGCCGTGAGTTTAGAAAAATCACATTCCAATCCACCTTAGATGCACAGAGTATATTTGAATTTGCTTAATTATTCTTTTTTGTGGCGTCAGGGCGATGGGACTGGTGGTGTCCAGAGAAACGCAGCACATGGGTGTACCGTACTATGTGGACAAAAGTTTTCAGAAAGAGTACCGCGGAGCAGTGCTGGAGGAACTAGAGAAGAGCATCGAGAGCGACTATATCGAACACTTGCAGAGCAGCTGCTGGAAGGAGAAGCAGCAAAGTAAGTGAGAATCCCAATCAAACTTGATTAATAACCTGGTAAAAGTAATTGCCGTGATCCAAAATGATCTGTCAGTTGATACTGACATTTCGGTTTCCCACCTTCATTGTAAATATGGTGCCAGTGTAGATTTTCAGGGTTGATTAAAAGAGAGAGCAAGGGAAAACTAAAATTTTATTTAAAAAAAAAATGCATGCCAAAGACTTTTTGTTATTTTTGATTAAATTCTCTCTCCGTTGCTCTTTTTTTCAGAATCAGACTTGGCAAACTTGGGGCAGCTTTACCGAGACGAGCGGTTAAAGCAGAAGGCAGAGTCCATGAGGCTGGACAACTGTGAGAAGCTGCAGCGATTGGTCGGCCGCCTCAGAGTCAAATGAGGACAGTTTGAGAGGAGGAAACGTTTCTTTAGCGAAGTGTGTAATTTACCCATTCTGGCCACTTTGCTGCGACATGTCGTTGGGGGACGGTGCAGCCAGTGGGAGATTGCACTTCTGAAAACAACGTGCCTTCTCTTCGTCGGTAGGAAAATAAGGAGTTGCACTGTGGCGTTGGCAGCAGGGAGTGCAGACTCGCTCTGGCAGGATGTATGATGTCTCACAGCCTTCAAACTTTCTTATAGAAATGGCATGACATATGCAGTCTCCCCTTGGGGCTACAAAGGCAGTTGTATGTTTGGGACATACATGTTTTATCTGTTTAGGTTTAATGTTTTCTTGTGTCTTTGTTGAAATTTTTGATGTATTTATTTGGTAGATAACAGGGTGAATGTTAGTGAGGGTTTTCCAGTAGGAAATTAGTACAGAGACCTAAATAACACTGCAGTGTTTGGACAAATCAGCACAAATATATATATATATATATATATATATATATATATATATATATATTGTGATCCAGGTTTTCACCTCTCGCCAGGTGAAAACCTGGATCATCGATGCCTGTGGTCATCGGGGCCCTCGGGGCAGTCACCCCCAAACTGGAGCAGTGGCTCAAACAGATCCCAGGAACAACATCAGACATCTCAGTCCAGAAATGTGCAGTTCTAGGCACAGCCAAGATACTGCGCAGAACCCTCAAGCTCCCAGGCCTCTGGTAGAGGACCCGAGCTCAGAGGATGAAAAAAACGAGACCACCCGCGGAGGGTGAGAAGAGAATTTATTTTTTTTTTTTTTGTGAAATGATGAAGGACCTTTAAAACCAAGACAGATCCAACAATTATAGCTCCTGCAAGGAAACATGGTCTTTCTTGCCTCCATAAGCACTAATGGTACTGGTGGTTGTGTAAGGAATATTTGCAGCTCCTTCAGAGGTTGCATTTGAAACAGTTTTGCTTATCTGAAATTTCAGATTGATTTATGCTCCAACATAATGTTTCCTGATCATTGGGAGCTCATGTAATGGCAGTATGCACAAAGCTAATATTTCAAATTGCACACAGTGCTTTGCAGAAGTAGTCGTAGTTCCATTACAATTTGTCACATTGCAACCGCAAACTGGTATTTTAATGAGATTTCAATGATAGACCAACACATAGCAGTGCATACTTGTGAAAAAAGCAGAAAAAATACACATGTTAATGATTTTTTTTTTTAAATAATCAAACCAAAATTGATTGATTTTAATATATTTTTTTCATAACATTGTTGAAAAATGTGGTGGGTATACTCAGTCAGCGTTCACGAGTCAATACTGTGCAGGATATGGTTTGTGTTTTTGTCTTTGTGAAACGGTTCAGTCCCAGTCAAACTGGATGACGAGCATCTGTGAAAAAATCACTTTTCATGTCTTGTCACAGATTCTCTTCTAATTTAGATCTGCACTTTGATTGAGCCACTCAAAGTATGTTTAGATTTAATTTTACAATGAAAAATGAACTTCCACCTCAATTTCGAGTCTTTGCAGCCTCTAACAGGTTTTCTTCCAGGACTGGCCTGTATTCGGCTCAATCCACCGAAGAAAAGCAGTCCCGCCGCATGCCATCAGCATGTTTCACATCGGAAAGGTCGTGTTTAGGGTGATGTGCAGTGTTAATTTTCTTCCGTAAAGCCATTTGCCATGTTGTCGTGTTTGCTGTGCTGCCTACATGGCTTCTGGCAAACTTGAAATGGATTTTTGCACAGCTAGTTGTCCTTTCAACAGATTTTCCTACCAGAGCTGTGAAACTCCTCCAGAGTTCCCATGGAGCTCATCTCCGGTTCAGGTAGAGCGTCATGTCTTCGTAGGTTTACAAACTCTTGCGTTTCCAATTGATGGGGTGAACACTTCTGTTCCTGATATGGATATCGTTTTAAATCATAACCCTGATTTAAAACGTCTTCACCGTTTTATTCCTAATCCGTTAGGTGTGCTCCTTGGTCTTCATGATGCGTTTGGTTCCTAATATTCTTTGACAGATCTCTGAGGCCTTCACAGAACAGCTGTGGATGCACTCAGATGACGTTACACACAGGGAGGCTAATTTTATTAATGAGGTTACACTGGATTTGTTTATCGGCATCAGAAAAATCACTGAAAGCAAATGCATGCTTCTATCTGAAATAAACATTTCAGATGCTTATTTGTATTTCGTTTCACTTCACAATTATTCACTGCTTTGTGTCAGTCTGGTTCATTAAAGTTTATGGTTGAAAACTGACAACTGCGGTATCAATACTTTTGCAAGTACTGTATTACCATAAATATTAAAAAATATATAATTTCTTTTCACAAAAAGGCTTACCCATCAAAACGTGTTTTCTAAATCCTGTCTCCATATTTTGTACAGATCTTTTATAAAGGAGAAATTAATTAATATAACCAGATGGGCCTAAAACTCCTCTTTTTTTAACTAGATGAAACCAATTTCATATTTGTGGACATTTGGGGTGTCATAATCTTATTGAATAGTATGCTGACATCGTGCAAATCTCTTTTGTAATATTAATCCAAAATCATACTTCCCTATAGCTGAAAGTCTGACTTGTTGCCATGCACTGCGCTTACCAGACTGCCTTAGCTGTTGTACTTCTGAAATATTCAGGTTCATCTTAAGCACTTTTAAGTTAAAATTGTCTTTTTTTTTTCTTTTTTTTTTCCATACTGTGACAGTTGCATGAATCCCAGAAGTAGTTTTTTTTTTATTTTTTATTTTCTATTGCATATTTATTATTTGACTATAAATGTAAATGAAGTAGAATATTCAGGTTCACGCTGTTATCCTACAACACTTAAATCCTTAACTGTGACAGAAAACACAAGCTAGGTTTCAAATGTATAACCACAAGTTATGTTGCTGAATTGACTGTAAGCTGTCAGCCAAAAATACGTGAAAATTAAAGCTGTAACCAGTATTGAAACATTTCCTGTCTCTCTTAATTCCATTGTGATTTCAGGTTGACTTAGCCGAATGTGAAGTCAACATCTGTTTTAAGAAAATATGAATATGGGTCAAATTAGATCAATTTGAGCCAAATTCAGCCTGAGCTGCCAGCAATTTTGGGGGGTTTTAAAGCTTCCTGTTGCATAAGTGTCACAACTTTGTATGGAAATGTCTGAAAAATATTTGAATTTACAGACCAGTTGCATACTCAATCAATGAATTGTTTAGCAATTTATGAAACTTTTTATCCGCCTATACGTTCATCTGTCAAAGTATCATTTATCTGTCTATTCATCTATTCATAAGTCCCTCAGTCGATCATCTTTCCATACATTTTCAATACATTTGTCCATCATTCATCAATTTAACTATTTCTCTGTTCATCCAGCAAAGCAGTTTATTTTCCATTTGGCTGAAATGAGAATTCATATATCCAACCTTGTTCATCCATCCTTCCATCTTTGCCATTCATGCATCAAGCCATTCATCTATTTGTTCATCCATTCATCCATCCATCTGCAACTAGACCTGGACTCGTCTTTGCTGTAAGGACAATTTTATTGTGTTGTAACGTTTTCTGGTCCACAAAACAAAAATACTAATGTCACATCTTCTCAGTACACTGAACATAAATCCAAGCAAATCTCATAAGAGTTACTGTTTCACAGGAAATTTCACAAAGGCAAAAATCATTCCTACACAATCAAAACAACCATATTCATTAAAAAAAGAAAGATTTTAAGAGGTTTAAAATGAAATGTTACACAAAATGCCTTTGTTTGAGATGCAAAAATGTGCCCTTCTGCTCTGCAACTTTAGGGTGCAGATCTTTAATCAGAATATTTAACCTTTGGCTTTATATATTACAAAAACACGCACGCGCACACACATACAGTTCATGAATTAAAAACACTAAACTGGTTTAATTTCAACACAACTGCAGGCAAGGAGTAACTCATATCCATATGTATGGACCACACCTATTAAATCATTGTGAAGAAGTGAACTTTAAAGGTTTTAATGTTCCAGGCGGTTGAATGTAAGAAGCAGGTTAAGTCTAAGCGATCTGCAGTAACATCTATGAAAAGGTTTGACCTGGTCTGACACAGAATACCCCACAGTGATCTGGGATTATACAGAATATAATCCATGTCTGAATGGTTGATTTAGAGCGGAGCCTTCCCAAGCTACACTCTGTCCAATCATCCTGGACAGCAAGTCAAAGACGGTCGATCTACACTCATTCATGTCCTTTTGCTCGACAAAGCCAACAGACAAGATTTTCCTTTGCGGATTTCACTTCTTCATCTTGAGGTCGGCCTCTATGGCACTACGGCGCCCTCTGGTGCCACCGTCCTGTGATCAAAAATCCACACAGCAGCAGTTTTGGAAACCTTGAATCTGGACCTAAAAGTGTTAAAGGAAATGTTTCTGAAGGTAATTGATGTTTACTTACAAAAAGAGAAAGGAGAAAGGCCGGCGAGGACATGGAGACGGTGTCCTGTAACATGAAAACAATGCAGAGGACTTACTTTAGACAAGCTTCCTAAAAAATGTACTGAACCATGTTTCTGTATAAACTATAAAGAAACATTTGGGTCATTTTTTTATTTTTATTTTTTGTTCCAAATATTTCTGAAACAAGAAGTCAACTAGTTTGACTCGGGAACTACATTCAACAAATAGTGTTCCACATGTTTATTTATATTCTTTGTCATCAGTTTAAATGCATGCTCTAAAAAATACATAACTACCTCTCAAAAAAAAAAATGCTAAGTCATTAGAAATATGCTTCCGATAGGTAAGTAGTCCTGAAATGTAATGTTTAGGAACTTCCTTTTTTCTGCTTTCCTTTCTTTGTACCGCTAAACAACATCATAGCAAAAATGTACATTTGTGCTATTTGTACAGAACACCAGGTCAAATGTCGCAGGATCTGCAGGTTAGTACTGTAGATGAACAAAACTAACAAACACACAGAGGAAGTTCTGGCACCCTTAATATCGCTCCATGATATGAGAGGAAAAACAAATAATCTCATGGATCTATCGACAGTGGAGTGACATAAATTACAGTAAAAAATATCTTTATAATGAAATGCAGAAATTGCAAAGTGCCTGGTGTTGTATTGTAATAGCAGTGAGATAGAAAGTAGTTTTAATAGAAGTTAATGGAGCATTTAATTGTCCACTTTTGGCAACATGGAGTATGTGGGACTGTGTGAAAAATACTGATGCAATCAGATTAATCAATCTGGATGCTAATCACCGACACATTCAGGAACCTAATCAGCTACAAAGCTCTGATAAAGCTAATAAATATTCAAAGTTTTGAACTTTGAATATGTTTGGGAGTTTGAAGTAGATGTAAAAGTGTGTGAGAAATTTAAAACCCTTTTTAATTTAAATCTTTGGTGAAGACTGAAGGTTTTGTATCTTCTGCCTTTAGATCCGCCTGACGTCACTCTCTGGTCTCATCTTCTCCGCTTCCTGCCTTTTGTCTTGGTTCTAGTGAAGCACCTTGTCAGTGGAGTCCTGCCTGCGCGTGCTGTCGCGGCCCCTCAGGCTCTTGGCGCTGATCCCGGATTCGGACGTCTCCATGATGAGCTGTGTGGCCAGGAACTGTTGGATCTGCTCCAGGACGTCGCGCTGCATCTCCAGAGCCATGTGGTACACGTCGTGGTCCAGCCCGTTGTACATGACCGCGTTCTGAAACATCAGCATGATGTCCCTCTGAAACTCGGCGGTGGTCCGTATTAAGCCGGTCTCGATGTTCTTTTTGATGGTGGCCAGGTCCATGGGTCTGCAGAAGAAACCACCAGAGAGACGAGTCTCAGTGATGGGATTTCTTTAATTTATTAGCATTTTGCAGGTGGATTTGGTGCTGACCTGTGAACAATGCTGTGGTATCCTGGAGCAATTTCATCTGTTACTGGCTGAAGAAAGACGTTTGCATACCTGCAACAAAATAAATGGGGCTGTTCTATGAAGGCTCCAGAGGTGTGTCAGAGAACATCAGTGAATAAACAACTTAATGAAGACCAAGAAACACAGCAGGGATGTCGGAGATGAAGTTGGAGGGAGTCTCGGTTGGGTTGAAAAGCTGTGGACATCTCACAGGTCAATTCTCAAACTACCAAGACATTTTAGTCCACCCAAACAAGAAAATAAAGCAGTTTTCCAAAGTTTCCCTTTATGTTAAAGCGGCAAGAAGTAAACCAGAGTTACCAGAGAACCATGAGTTTGTGACAAGCTGTGGTAAATGTAGTAGAAGGTACTCCAGTCAGATGAGGCTAACATGTAAATTTTTAGCCAACATGCAAAACCCTGTGTGTGCAAGACTAAAACTGTACCTCACCCTGAAATCCCTGATAACACTATCCAACACTATCCAAGTCTAGCTAACCATAGTGGATGCAGCATCATGTTGTGGATATTTTATTCTTCACCAGGAATAATGAAGCAGATCAGAATAGGTGGTAAGAAAAGTGGAGATGCTAGAGGTTACAAAACATTAAAGACCGGGGCCTTTTAGCGAGACAACGACCCAAAACACGAAGCCGGGACTAAAGTTCTTCACAGGTGATCTCCATCCAACCTGACTGAGATTTAGCAACCCTAAAAGATTTGAAAGGTGTGACTTCAGTGAAATGTGGTTCTAAAATAATGATTAGGGACTCTAAGAAATAGAAATTTAAGCCCCGATTATTCGTACCCCTGCCAAGTTTGAGGTTTAATCTTAGAATTTGTCCAACATTTGTCGTCTGACCGAAAGTAGTATTGCGTAATGTTTTGGAATGGCCCAGCCAGAATCCCGACTATCAGGATTTGATGATTGAGAAGGGTACAAATCATTTTTTAAAAGCTATTTTCTGTTAATATGTAAATGAAAACAGAATCTGTTGTTTGAAAATCGATACTCTTTTGCATCATTCTTTTAATAGACACACATATCATTACCTACTGGACACAAACCTCTTTGCTGAATGAACATCTTAAATGTAAATCTGCTGGGGGTATGAATAATTTTGGCCTTAACTGGGTGTTGGTCCACTATGTTAAAGTCCGATGGAAAATACTGATGCAACGAAGTACAAAAACTTTATTTTGATACGAATGCCTGTGCAAGGCACCGTACGTCTCGTTTCCTGACCTGTGATTGGCTGCTGCTCGCCACACCAGCATAATGGCTTTCTTCCAGATCTTGTGAGCCTGCAGAGCTTCCAGGTCCTCGCTGCACACCGAGCTGCACAGCGCAGATAGAAAAGAAGGAGAAACGCAGATGTCAGCAGGAAGTGGAAACTGCAACACCTCTCCGCCGCCACACGCTGATGATGACAGTCATTCCTTCGCGAGTCCCTCGACGTGTTCCACTCACAACTGTGACGACGCGGGGCTGCTGGGGATGGAGTCGGCTGTGGTGTGGAGCTGGAGGGACGAAGACGCCGTGTGGAGGCTGTACCCGTCCTCGCTCTCGCTGGCCGCAGGTTCCAGCTCCATTTCGCCGTCGGGTTCCGATGAGAACTCCTCCGCCCCGTCGCCCTCTTCTTCCTCGCACAGCTCCGGTCCCGTGGCCTCGCTGTCCGCTTTCGACCCCGAAACATTCTCTCCTTCCTCTGCTCCGAGTCCGTCCTCTGCCTTCGCCTCCGCGGACAGAAACGGAGACGCGTGTGGAGATAAAACTGCGTTTGAACAGAAGAATGCCAGGCATCGTGTTTGCCTTACCTGGGAGTCCCAGTCTGCTTCTTGTTTGTCTTCTAATACTGAGTCTGCTAAAACTGCAAAGATGAATAACAGGAAGGTTTGTTTATTAAAAAAAAAAAAAGTTGAGGTATTAATATTGAGCTGTGAAAGTGTTTTATCCTCACAGATTTCTTCTGTTTTCGCTTTGCTGTTCAACTGAAATGTAACAAAAGGCCTTATTCCCTTAACAAATGAAACAATCAGCTTTTTGTATTTACTCAGATTATTTTTATCCAATATTTAAAGTTCGTTGATGATCTGAAACATTTAACTGTGACAAAAAAAAGCAAAAAAATAGAAGAAATCTGTAAGGTGGAAAACACTTTTTCACACCACTGTATTTATGTCTGTCTGCATACCTCCAAAGGCTTTTTCCAGTTTTTGCGGTGGTTGCTTTTCACCTTCACAATCTGTGCTACCATCTATTGAAATGTGTTTGCTTGAGCCTTCCTCTCCCTCTGCCTCTCTCGCTCCTCGGCACTGTGAAGGTGTGGCGCTGTGCTCCAAAGTCTTTGAGCCGCACAAGGAAGAGGGAGGAAGGCTCTCCAGTTCCAGGGGAAACGCTGACAGATTTTTATCTTGGCTGCTGTACAGAGAAGAGAGCGACACTTCTGCGCTGCCCTCCAGGATCCGGTGAGTGGGGTGTGGCTCTTGGGGCTGTAAAGGCCCGGTGTCCCAGGCCGCAGTCAGAGTGTGGTCGTTGTCCTCACAGAGAGACAGGGCGGCCTCCACGGCGGCAGCATCCAGCGCCTCCGCGGCCTCATCCGCCTGCAAAGCGGGGAAACTTCAGTCAAACCGGAAATCAGAGAAAGCACAGAGAGGTAAGCTATTTCGCTACATGTTGAGACATTCAGGCTGCGAGAGAGAGCTAGACTGTCAGCGGAAAACAGGAAGGCTGATTGGAGAACAGCAAAACTCCTTCGTTCTATTGTTGTTTTGTTTTGTTTTTTAGCTTTTATGCCGTTAAAATGCTGAATTAGGAAGAGCACACTTTCCACAGAATTAAAAATGAAATACTGTTTGAAAACATTTCCTGCACACAAACATAAAACAGATGTACGAGCATTCATTTGATCATTTAGCTTCATTTCCTCTATTCAAATTCACATTTTGTAATATTGGACATATATTTTTAGAGCTGTAGTGTGGCCAGAGAATAGGTGTATTTTTTTTAATTAATATTATTTTTAATATTTACATATTTCATTTTATTTTGTCACATAAATTTTAATTGTGTAAGGGAATCTGGTAAAAAGCTTAATTTCCTTTAAAGTGGATGCACCTGAACTTCGTCCAGTTTCAATAAACTAACCTAACAAACGAGGGGAAATATGAATCAGGAAAAAAATATCAGTGGATCACAAAATCATCCACGGATTTCTGATTGGTGCATCTGTAATGAAAACACTCACATTATAAATGCCATTCTATCTACACCGGAGCTTTGGTTTTAATAATTTCTCCAACCTTGTCTTCAATGATGGCGATAATGTCCCCCACTGTCTTCAGGTCCAGCTCGTCTCCCATGTAGGACGCGGTCACATCTTCCTCGCTGAGCTCTGCCACTTTACTCTCTGCAGAGTCAGCTTGGCAGTTCGGATGGACAGCTGGCGC